TAAATAATAATAATAACAATATAAATATTATTGTAATAACACTTTTATTCAAAAATTTCTCTCAGTATCCTTTATCTACCGGAACCACACACTACTATACCCGAGCGCTAATGATGTCCAACAACAATTCCCGGGAAATGCAAAATAAGGTCCTGTCGCACACAAATTACTGGTCAGCGGAAAGTGGAGAGTGGCCACTAAAATTGCGCAACTTTGTAAGCCATTTTTGCCATTTCCCAGCCATTTGTCGCATTTTGCTTAGCCATTTATTTATTTGCACTCATTTAAAGTGTAAACTGCATTGTTTTTTTCTCAACCCGGAGCAGGACCCTTTCCCCCAAAGTTGTTTCCATCTTTGTTATTAAGAATGGTGTAATCATAGCCGTTGGCCCAGCTCCTCGTCCTTATTTAGTTTTTTGCTCTATTTTTGTTTTTTTATTGTGAAGCCCCTTGGGGCTAGCATGCTCTAATTAAGTGCATTTACTCTAATGAGCAAAAATGGCAGCTCCAGCTGCAGATTCTGTGGCAAAAGCAAAAAAGCTGTCACAGTTCCGTGAACTGGAGAAACCGTGCGTGAAAACTGCCCTCCAGCTGGCCACTGGGGCAACTTTTGCGGTCTTGTTGGAGGTTGTTTTTAGAGGGGCTAGAGGGGGTCGAACTCATTTTAAGGGCTCCACACCAACCCCGACACCGAAACCGAAACCTTTTAAACAAACTCAGGGGCTGCAGATGCAGATGCATCTGTGAGTATACATATCTGCATCTGCTTCACCCCGACTCCAGGATTCCCAGGCATTTGTCTATGCAAAATTTTGTGATGCTCATTAGTGCAATTTGCATGCATAACGGCAAATATGGCCAACAGCCAGATGAAGCCTCCACACAGTCCATATGTCCATCTATATATCTGGCCACCCATCTATTCTATGCACAACAAATGTTAGAACACTGAGGGAAACTGACAGGGCATTTGGATAAAGGTCAGATTTTAATATTTGAGGACATTATAGAAAAATTATAAGTCCTCTTAATAAAATCTTTAACACCTTTAAATATATGTATCAATATCTCTCAGTGCATATAACTAAAGACTGTGGAGTGTGAGAATGGCTCGATGCAATGGCTATTCCTACATTCATCAAATTCAGAGACTGAACAGAGGCATTTGCCTCGTTCATTGTCGAATTCAAATATGTAGACTAGAATTTTTGTATTTGCCTATGCTCGTGCTGCTTTCCCCACTTGGGTGGAAAGTGGAAAAGGGGCATTGGGAAAGCACACTCGTGCCTCACGACCAGTTCAGATTCAGATACGGATTCAGCGACACTAAGTAAACACCAGCACAGCTGTGCCAAAGGATAACAGCATTCGGCTGCAGGCTTGGAAAAATATGCAAATGTCAGCCAATAGTGCCACACATCCCTATCCAAAAAAGAAAGAAAAAAAGAAACGAAAACACCCTCTCCACTCCTTCAGGGCGACCATCACATTCAGATAAAACACAAAACAATCCGAATTAGTAAAAAGCAAAACAACGAACCAAAAAACCCCAAAAAGAAAAAAAAGATTCGGCCAGCACTTTGGCAAAACCAAATTCATTTTCAATTAAGAATTTTTGGGCATATCGACAGAAAATGTCCTGCGCCTAAAGCCGGCGCCTGCAATGGACAAAACATTTGAAATGCTAACTAAATTACGCAGACTTCACACACACACTTCCAGGCATGTCTGTGCATATTTAGTTTTTCTCAATTTACAGTGCCTGGTATTGCCACTCGCCGACCACCATATGGGGTGTCGTCAGGCTGTGGTCAAAATGCCAATTGCAAAACAATTGCATTTTGGTTACTTTGCTGTTGAATCCGGAATTTCGATGGCAGCCAACTAACAAACACTGCGACGGTTTCCGTTGACACCAGTCACAGTCGAAGGGCGAGTGGCAAGCACTCGAAGAAATCATTAACTAAGTTATTGAAAATAGTTCTAACAAGAGTATAAAATATAGGATAAAAGCACACATTATTATCCATGAATATTTGCATTAAATTCGATTTAATTTAATATTTCCCAATAGGCATATTCTCATATCCATTTAGTCAATATTGAAAGATACAAATCTATCTGATAGCTACTATTGATATTGACAATTTGGAGCAAATTTGATTATTTCTTTGTGTGCACACACATCTGAATCGAGTGACAATTAAACTCTGGATTTTAAGTTAAAAGCAAAATATTGTAGCTGACGTGAAGCTCTCCCAGCCTCATCCCTTTTTTTTCCCGCTCGACTGGGGCGTGAAATTTCAACTGGATTTTCTTTTGGTTCCACAATTTCTAAAAATTGTTAGACGACAGCCAGTTCCATCATATTCCAATACATACAACCATGAATATATGGATGTACATACATGTATGTACGTTTGGGGCAAACAAAAACCGAAAAAGCAATTAAATTGTACACTCGGCAGTGGCAGCAGGCAAAAGCCAAGCAAATCAACAACAACTATTACCAAACCGTCGACAAAAGACACCAAAGGCATCATGCAACAATATTATAACATTTCCCAACTGCAAAAAATACATCAACCAGCCACACCCCAAACACACACCATGCCCCCCACACACCATCGCTCGATGCAAAATGCTAAAGTTTTTTATTTGAAACGAAATTCATGTGTGTGACAGCCTGACATGCAAATACGTTTAATTTCAAAAACTAAACTAATAAAAGCTACGCTGCAATGGCTTTTCCGCAGTTGGATTTACTTTTTTTTATTTATGATGTCCACAAAAAACGCTGTAAAAACATCAACAAATAGGCAATCGAAATGTATTTATTTCTGGGTAAAAAAGGGTAGCGCTACTAATGTTCATGGCGTTGAAATCAATAAAGAAAAACTTAATTCGCTTTATGTTTTTTAATCAATGAGGAAAAAATAATATTTATATATTTGTAACCAGATTAACAGTTCAGGTAATATAAAATATTATTAGAATGTATAAATTTACAAAGAACAACAAAGGCTTTAAAAATATTCATTATACAAGAACACTATTTCTAAATCCGTTAAAAAGTTCAAGTTTGTGGTCTTTTTTGTGGTAAATTGGAAACTCTGGGATTTCAAGTGCCTGTTCGGAGTCCTTTTTGAAGCCAAATACCAGAGTACCATCGAGAGCTGCGCCAGTTGACTGAAATACCAATTTATAGGGCCTTCTTCAATCATTGACAAGGATGAGTTAGCAGACGAAAATGTTAGGAAATTGCCACCCAATGATGCGCCAAATACTCCAATACCGAATGATGGATATCTTGATGAGCTGGCGTAGTAGATCCGAAAACTACATGCAAAATATTTCCGTGTGTGAAAAAAGCGGACGTGATCCGGATATCCTTAGAACCGGAACAATACACGCGGGTCATATATAAACAAACACACACACGCACATACGGGCAGAGGGAAATCTCTATATATGGCAGTTAAAAACGGCAACAAAAGAAATCGCACATTTCAACGTTTTGAATTTGTAAAAGGATATTTTTCACATTATAATAAGAAATGAGGCTGAAGACGCGCCTCGCATCTTTTTGGGCTTCCTGCCCCCCTCTTTCCGTCCTTTTCTACTCCTATATGTCTATTTCCCTCTATCCCTTCGCACACAGTCGCACTTTAAAATGCAGAACAGCTGAAAAATCATATAAACACAAATAATAAAATCGACAATTTGGCAAGAGCCGCACGCACACACACATAAATATCCTTCTGTCTGTGCATATGGAAGTGTATGTGTGTTGCAATAAGCACATAACCGCAAATGTACTGGCAACAAAACGTGCCGCGATTTCACAAAAAGACCAATGGGAATCCTCAAAGGAAATGGGTTAAATTTTCCACTCACACAGAAAACTTGGCGCGTAATCGACTTGAAGACGCCGCTGTCACGGCCTCAACCCCATTGGCCAGTAAAAAAACTTTTTGTTTGAATTCCTATAAGGATTCGTTACAAACTAAGCACTGACTAAACTTTCCTTTTCTGTTTTAGGGCACTTTTCACAGATTTAATTTTCAGAATAAAATTAAAAATTACAAATTAAACATGTGTTTGTTTTCTTCTTAAGTAATTATTTTATTCAAACAATTTTATGAAAAATTACATGAAAATTGCAATTGGCAAAGCAATTGTTTGATACATTTCTGAAGCATTTAAAAACAATTACTCCACCATGCGGGAAATCATGCAGAATCCTTTTCCGAATCTTTTCATTAAAATCTTTTGTAGTTTTATTGCAGAATCATTTCAGAAAATTATAATTGCCCGCCTTTACATTTTAAAGTATTTTGTGAAACATTTCAGACACACTACTGTAACAATTCAGCAATGCATTTTAAAAGTTTCACGCTAAAAATTCCTTCAAAATTGAGCAGGGTTCAAAATAAGTATAATTATATTTTTTTATGAGATATTAAAGATATATTTCAGATATCAGAAAAACTTTATATGTAATTCCCATTTGTGTGTTTCTCAAATCTGTATTCTATTGGTTTAGAAAAACAGTCTGAATCTAAATCAGAATGGGCGATCCTTTTACTTCGCAGAGCGGTTTATCATATCGCTATTTTGTCACTCATGAATCATAAAAAAATTTAAATAAGTAAAAATAGTAAAATTAATGTAATCTCCTTGGGCGATCCTTTTACCTTTTACTTCGCAGAGCGGTTTATCATATCGCTATTTTGTCACTCATGAATCATAAAAAAATAAAAATAAGTAAAAATAGTAAAATTAATGTAATCTCCTTCATAGAAATAATACATACATATATTTAATAGTAACTCGGAAAGTCTCATAATATAAAAAAAGAAAGTATGAGAAAAATTAAATGAGATATCTACGCTCTCAGTAGAATTTGAAGAAACGAATCAATTTCTGTATTTATAATGCAATAAGTATTCAGGTATTTGCCATCTTAAGTCTTATACTGTTTAAGAAATTTCAACACAATGCAAATAATTTGGTTTTTTCTGTCTTCGTTGCTGTTTTTAACATCCTTTCCAACAAACACTGGGATGAGAAAAAATGGCACTTCAGCTCCCAGCTCCCTTACAGCATTCAACGAAATAGACGAGACTTCAGCTCCCAGGATACAGCCCAGAATCTACGGGGGTGAGGAAATTAAAAACGGAATACTCGGCGGCTTTGCTGTACAAGTTTTTAGAAAAGATAATCTGGTTTGCACGGGAACTCTACTGTCACCACGACATTTCATAACCGCGGCTCATTGCTTCGAGAACAGTTTGCAGAAAGACTTTCACGCCGTGGCCGGGAGATCGGATGAGGTGATTTCACGAACATTGACCAGGAAGAACCAACTTATCCAGGTGCGACAGCATCCTCAATTCAGCAAGAAGGACTTCATCGGCGACATTGCTGTGGCAAAGGTTCAATACCCGATGAAAAGCAAATATATAGGCTATGCCTTGATCTGCTCCTCGCAAATTTTCCCGCATGAGTTTGTTACCGTAGCGGGTTGGGGCAAGAATGGACGACCCTCAGGTGCTACGAACAGTCTCCGCACCATAAAAGTGCCTATTATGGCTAAGAAGGAATGTGAACGTAGGATCGGAAGGGCCATGCCGCCGAATATTATCTGCGCTGGTGCCTTTAAGAAACGAACCATCTGCGATGGTGACTCCGGCGGACCGCTGATGTTCCGGAAAGAGGTGTGCGGCGTTAGCACATGGACCTGGGAGTGCGGCCAAAGCAAGAAGCCCGATGTTTACATGAGCGTACGCTACTATGCTGACTTTATTAGAAATACTATGGCCCTTATGGGCAACTAATAAAAATACAACCAAAATTTTAACTAAAATATTCATATTTATTATTCATAAAATTCAATTATCATAATTGTTAAAAAACGAATTTGTTAAAAACTAAAATAGATCCATATAAAATATTGTAACAAAAAAGGATCCAAAACATAATAGATAAAACTAACTTCCGTTGTAAATAACATTTTATTTCATACTCAGTTCTTCAAAAAATATGTTTTGTAAAATTTTAACATTTTACTTTACGTATCTACGCCTCTTGATACATGAAAAGATTCAGATACTTTGTAGAATGTAGAATGTTTGGCTCTTTGCACCTTCCACTCACGTGCTATCTTCTGTTCTTCTCTCTCAGAGCCCAGCTCTCTCTGTTTTCCTCAATATGGCCCCCTTTGGGCGTATTTCTCTCACACCCAACCAAGCGTAAGGTGAGAGCAAAAAGTGCAGCGTTGGCGCCGGCAAGCGGTAGAAAATTAAAAAAATACATACAGATATATGTACATATGTATTATGAGAAGAAATCAGAAGAAAAAGGGGGAAAATCGAGAGAAAACAAAACACGCTGCTAGTGAAAATATCTCATCATCAGCGTGTATTGCTGAGTTTCCCTGCCGCTCTGCAGCTAGCCGGCAGAATTTTCAACCTCTGCTCTTTGCCGCTCTTTGCACTTAAAAAAATAGAATTTTTTTTTTTTTTAAATAGAATATTAAAAACGTTGGAGATCCTAACTATCCTCAACTATAGTTTTGTATCTGAAACTATAAAAAAGATTTTATTTTTATAATGTGCTCTCTCGAATTGTATGAACCTAACTAGACGGCTGTATTGTGAAATTTCCAAACTTTTATCGCTTTTTTGTAGTGCCCCACTAACCAGTAATCCCCCTCCCCTTTTTTAAAAAGTGAGCACTATTTGCCCAGTGGGTCGCTATGCGGTCTTTCAGTTCACGTTGGATTCTCGAAGCGAGCGCCTGTCGATCGTACCGTTCCGGTTCCGAAGCATTCTTCCAACTCTTCCCCCGCGGCCGATTCGTCCCCGAGAACGTGTGTGATTTGTGATTGCTCCGATTAGTGCTGATAGTGCGTGAGTGCGTCACTTTGCTATATTGAATCTAATTCAGCCGACCAGTCTTCTGAAATAATTGCAAAATGAGGGAAATCGTGCATCTGCAGGCGGGCCAGTGCGGCAATCAGATCGGTTCAAAGGTGCGTATGATTGATATTCCCCAAGGGCCTTCGCCCAGCAGCGCACCCTTGCCCGATTACCATTTTTTTTTATTTTCACGCTATCCTAACCTCACATGTTTAATTATAAAACCGAGTGAGAACCGAACCGAACACACTCTCTGGTTTAGTTTATCGCCCGCTCTTTTCTATTTTGTTTGTGGGGGAAAGCACTTTAGAAAAGAGGGGCGAAAAGATTATTCCGCTAGTACGAGAAACTATAAAACTGCAAACATTAAAGAAACCTGACGAACTACAGCTTGCAAAAGCTCTGCAGCTTATCTTATCGCCTGGAAGATAGCAAGTTCGGCCTCTGCGAATATCACATCTAAATTACCTTGATCGCCGACAATTATATCCGAAAATGTGCTCACAAGTCAGGTGTAAATAATTAGCTAGGCTGTTAGTAAATGGCTCTTCAAGAAACACAATCCGTAAGTCAAGTTTGTTTGCCAGGTAGTTGAGAGGAAGCATAGTAACATGTATTTCGAAACTAGACCGAAGGTTTCTTTGATGCTTCCGTCTTTGGAACAGGCATTGTTCGAAAGCCCAACTGGTCTCAGATACTTTTTATGAGATTCTTTTTACGATTGCCCTCGCACAGTCGACTGGTCTTACGCTGAGGAGTGAGTGATCTCATAAAAAGCATAAAAGAATCCCATACGTTTCTCTAATTATGCCATTGGGGCTTGTAAGTATCTGATGTAGTATCTGATACATCTGACTCACGGTTGACTAAGACAAACTGCCGGGCTTATGTGTGTTTTACGCTATCAGGCCAACTCTAATCAGTAAACTTGTATACAAAACTTTAAACATAAGTACCTGCCAAATAAAAAACCCAGACCAGATAGGCCACATAGGCCAGAGCTGAAAATAGCAATTACATATTGTGTTCAGTTATTTGAATGGTGTGGCAAAAGCAACAAAGTTCTGAGCATGTCGCTTGGCAATTAGAAATGCTAAAATGAAAACATTGCTGTAAATCCGCACCAAAACTTGCTAGTGGTGGCCCATTCTAAGCTAATTCAGCGCATTAACATTAACTCGCACAATTTGCCGCGTCATGGAAATCCAGAAACATCAACAACATCATCAACAATGCACCAAAAAAAACACAAATAATAAATGAATTTCTTTGAAATTCTATTGCAGAAATAGAAAAGTTTTTCTTTCAGTGCCGGGGCGCTACGTGGGGCAGTCATTGACGTTTGACACAGTTTTTTGTGTTTTTATTTTTTGTGTCTTTCCCCGGCTTTCCCAGCACAGTTTTCTCCGGCCGTTTGCATATTTCGCCGGCTCTCCCTCCGCTTCTTTTTCACTGTTTTACACGCTTTTCCACTTCATTTTTATGTAAACACACTTGCACATATTTTAAAGCACTTTTTTGCGTGTTTTCGCGAGCGCCTTTCGAGTTAATTAGAACGCACTTTGGCGGGGACAAAGCCAAGGGCCAATCTCATTGGATTTTATACGCCCGTTACGTATACGCCCCCCAAAACCGACCATTATTACATTCGCCCTTTTGCCGCCATTGTTGCGGATAATGTTGATCTAAAAAAGTAGGTGATTATTTATGCAGTTTAACGCTTATCGAATCTTTATAGATTACATAAAACTGGTTTGTTGGTGCATTAAATTTGAAAATAATCAAAGCGAACATATTTTGCTGCTTGTCCCATACATACGCCATTTTCTTTTTTTTGTCAACACGATTTTGTGCCTTAATTGAATGTCCTTTTCTGATTAATTGGCTGTCAGTATGAATTATGGCTGCAGCCTAGAATAAACAAATAATAAATATGCAAAACTGCCTGCGTGGCAGTGCACAATGGCGTAAATTGTGAACACAGTTTTTAAATAAAATTCCAAAACTAATTGCTCTGCTGATAAAGGACAATAAGCAAATAAAAAAATTAACAGATTGATTACACATTAAAAACAGAGCTTATTCATACACGAATGGGCAGTAAATAAAATACACACAGCAATTATTAAAACAGAAATCTTTGAATTAGACAATAGCTCCAAACGTATTGTTTGGAAATCATAATTTTTTTCCATTTTCACTTTAAAGCTTAAATGTATACATAAATGAAATATATTCAATCGATTGGAATTTCCTTTTTTTATTTTGCAAAATTACTCAAATGCGTCTTCCGGCTTTTCCTGCCAACACACGAAATTGATCGCATATGTACGCCGGGCGAGAAGCCATCTCACCAAGGATATTTCCAAGCGGTCGTCTTTTTTGGCCTGCAGCGAGAGTTCGTTTTCTTCTTCGCCTTTTTCATTATTTACATAAACCTAATTTTCCCTAAATCATTTTGCGAACAATAACAAGGAAAATCTATTTACGGCCATGGCATAAAGACGAGGCACAAACGTTGAACCGGTGCGGCGGGGAAAGTGCGGATGAAATTTATAGACGAGTGGAGCGACGAAAAGGAGAAAACACAAAACAGAAAGCCAGGCAACAGACAATAAAATTAAAGGGTAAAATAAGCAAAGACATGCAAAAATTCCTTGCTCCTTTGTGCTGCATTTTCTGATATATGTACACATGTATGTGCATATATCCTGGCCCCGGGATACATTTGTTTAGCATATAATGGCAAGGCATCATCGAGAAGCACCAAAATAATGCACAAAATTGAATTATCGATGGCGCTAGCTAGCTAGCTGGCAACAACTATCGCCGCCGTAATTTCTTTATGGTTATCCATGGTTATCCGATATCGGGTTGGGGGCAGCTCTGCTGGGGAATCGTTGGATTACGTTATGGCCCGGCTTAGATGCCTCTGGCACGTCATAACGTCATAGGTAATGTGCCCGCCCGTATGCAAATGCAATTTTCCTGTGTGGCAATGCATATACACACGGATGTTGATGTTGATGGCTGGGGCTGAAAAAACAAGCCATTGATAACTTAGTTGGCATCTTCATTTCAGTTTCAGATGGTTGCCAACGATGAGATACATGAAAAAAAAATAATAGCAAAAATTCTTAAAAATTATGATGTTAAAAAATTAAACTCATTGAAGTTATGTAACCGACAAGCAACTTAATTGTATTTTTTTGGTAGACTTAAGAAAGTACAAATATTTTCTTAAGTGTAGATGCTTTCCTGACTGCCATCTTCTGTATCGCACACAATTAAATTCAATTCTTGCACATGCAAATTGGTCAAAATAGTGATCGCGTGTCCATATCGACGACTCAAGTAATCAGATTTAATGTGCGGCTTTATGGGTAGGTTATGTGGCCTGATGATTAGCAATACATATATAGACCGATATGAAATCCGATTCCAGCACAATAGCCTCGCCATGGTCAATGGAGGGCAACAATTACTTTAACATGCAACAAGCCGTAAGCGAAAAAGAATCGTTCGTGGGGAAAGTGGAAGCAATATCCCCGTTCATTTTTTTACGCTGGCAAAATATTTTTCAATTTACATAAAAATGCGTTTATGCATACCAAATGAGGCACACACTCACAATTTTGCAGCTGCTGGCTCCTAGCAACCTTGCGCCTAGCGGTATGCAATAGAAAATGGCTGTGAGGTGGCAGGGAGAGGGGCCACCTAGCCCGCGGTCCATGGGCAGGGTTGCGGAAAATGGAAGGGCACCGCCACCGCTCTGTTGCACAAACTGATTATAAATAAACAAAAGGGAATTTTTATAAATATTTTCCCCATTCATATACATACATACATATGTATCCTTGTAAACTCCCTTTTTCGGAGCTTCTGGCTTGATGGAATATAAAAATTACTTATTTATGTATATATTTTTGCTCCGTTACGCTTTGCTTTGAACATGTGCATGCAAATTGATGAACAAAAGGGGAAATCACAAAAAAAAACTGCGCATAAATATTAGAAAAATGTGCACACGCAAAAAAGTGACAAAAATTTGTTCTGAAAATGGCATTTACGCAAATTGGTATGTTTTTAGATGATTTGGAAAATACTAAAATGGTTAATCATGTAGCTAGAAGTTGTTATAACAGGTTATTTAAACAAATTTACATACTTAAAAAGGTTATATGTTTCATAATCTAATAAGTCCTTTCTAAGTATTATTTTGAATCTTGAAACCTCATGAATAATCCTGGAATTTATACAGAACCGCTTAAGAGTTTTTCCTAAAGACCTATCCTTAAAAGATCTACACCTTAAAACAGTCCTTGAATCGACCCAAATATAGGTGATCATTGATAGCTTTGCTTGAAACAAGATATCTCCTTCATGGCTGTCAAAAATATAAGACCTCCCCACCAAGAGTATAAAAAGAAAGGAAAACAAACTCCAAGTACTTTGGGTGCTACTGCTCCTTCACTTATTTTACACCTGGTTTTGTGGGCACCTGTAAGCCGCTTGCTCCAACTGAGCTGACAGGTTGACCAGGCCAACAATGGTCCAGGCTGCAGGGTGCCGAGACCGACAAATGGCCATTTGTTATTTATTTAACACTTTTAAAAAGCATTCCGCTCTTATGCTCATTAATTTCTCATGCTGCTCTTAACGCCTGCCATCCGACCATCCAATTGTCCAACCGTCCAGCCATCCCACCGTCCGACCATCCAGACTCCGGCAAAAGTGCAAATTGCATATGGTAAGTGGAGTTGGAGAGTGTACGGCATCGGCAGCGGCATATGTTTCATTACCATTGTTATTCCAGCAATTGTTTTGCATTCGCACCGGCCAGGCCCTTTTTCGTTATTTTTTGCGCCCAGTTTTTTCAATTACTTTGGTAATTTTATATTATTGAAATTGCAAGCCGCAAATTGTAATTATTGCGCATTACACGGGCTGGGGAGCTCTGCACTTCAGCAGATAGCGCCGCCACGCAATGAAATATGTTGCCCAGTTGTAATCTGGTATTTACGAAAAAATTAATAATACAATAAAGCTCCAACTCGAAAATGCATTTTAAGCCCTGCGAAGTTTTCAAATTATTTATGCAATTGGATTTGGC